ATTTCGCTCGCTAGATTTGGTTTCAGCCTACTTTTAGCAACTTAGTTTTGCTTTTGGAAGATTTTTGGGTTCGTACCACACAATGCATTGTGGTCATATTTTATTTCATCATCAGACCATTTACAAAGTACATTCACAAACATCTGTCCGCTATCTCATTCGGCATCGTCATTGAGCAGGGCCTCCCATCCTACCAAGAGTTACTATGCATGAGACAAGTGAGTTATTTTTATTAAAATCCTCCAACCACTAAAACGAGAATTCTACCTTCACCGCCAGGGGAGTCAGGGAACGCATTCCTAACGAGGATGCGCGGTGATACACTTGATATGTTAATTTCGATTTAATTTCTGAAGCTCCAGCCTAGAACAGTAGTCAAGCACAGCTTTCCTTATTATGTTAATAACATTCGTAACGGTGCATACTTTGATGTATGGTAGCCATTACTTGTAAAAACGTAATCAAAAAGCTATGATGGAGTAAATAATAGCTCAGTATTATCAGGTACTCTCAGCAAATAATGACTTTCTACCGTAAAAATAATCGCGTTTTTGAATATCAGTACTTCGAATGTAAATGGCAGCAAAACTTCTAAAATTAGTACATAGATCACTAGCACAATTCATACCGACTTATGCTTATCATACTCGAGGCTCTACCCGCACCAATCACGAATAGTAAAGTTATTATGTGCTATATTCCATCATTGTTGATAATACGATTTGGAGGGAGCGTAAATAAGCAATTACATATATTTCAAAGAGAACCTTCAAATGCAAGACAGTGACAACTAGAGGCATCAAAATCAGAGGGACCAAAATATAGAATTCCAATGAAACGAGCTCTCCTTTCTCCAGCTACTTTTGGAAAATATTTATGCAATTCCTAAAAGATGCTCAAGTAAAAGAAATCATCCCTCAGTCCACCTAATGCCGATTTAATGCTACTTTATAAGGTTAATTTATGTATCATGAAGTTGGGCCAATTCTTCCGCAAGATTATTCTTTGCGCACTTTTATGTTAGTCGTCGACCAGGTCATTCCAGCTGGCTACGTTGTTCAGTGATCGACCATTACTTAGATCGTAACTTCTACGATGACATTTCTTCTGAATGACCATCTCTAGGTGGCACAGTATAGGGTAGAATAAACTAAGGAGTACTCGAAATAAGAATTCCCAGACAGGGTCCATGAACATCAACGATTAAGCAAGATACACAAACAGTAAACAGGCCAGGAATAAACTTTATTTTTATATATACATCTAATTTGCCTAAAGGGTAATGGCAAAAAAGATGTCTAAGCCCCCTCAATGCAACGATTAAATTGCAATTTAGCACTAGGAAGAAAGTGAATATTTAATAATTGATTTCCTTGTTAGCAATAACGATTATGTAGCCTACATACCACTATGACAAATGGTTTCCTTAAATTGTCAAGATGGTTGTCCACCATGTAGATCAAGTCGAGATCAGATTGGTAGTACATTGAGCGGACAGAGAAATGGCTTTTATTTTGGAAGAACCCTTCTTCCATTTCACATAAAAAATCCGTCCTGGGCTTGTAAAGAATCTCGTACTTCTAGTCATTGTTATAATGTTGCCTTCTGTTTGAGCCAGGCAACTACAATGGGACCCTGTGAGATGTTATTTGATGCCCGAAATATCTGCTGACTTTATAGTATGATGAGAGACTATTAAGCCTGGATAAGTATCTTTGGTTTCACGTATTTTTATTCTAAACTATGCATTACTACTAAGAAAGAATTAAGTAGTATTGTTAAATAGCATGATATCGTAGTGAGAAAGCTGGTCTATGTAATCACTTAAACAAATACAAACATGATAGCTGGATTGTTCATACAGAAATGAGAGTCACTAGTCCTAGGTATAGATGAACTGTTATATCTTAGTCGTGATATCACCATCAGGATTGACGACTTGACTGCTTGGATTAGCTCAGCATAACCATTTGTTTCTAGCAAAGGCTCGGAGACTTGTTCCTTTAGAAAAAGTTGGTTAATTTATGCTAAAAGGGGATACATCAGTAAGTACTTATGTGGAATTTGAGTAGCTGAAGGCTGGGACTACAAGTCAAAAAGTAACATCCTATACGTCATATAGAGAAGCCTCGTGCGAATCAATTTGCGCCGTTTCTTTAACTATAGCTAGTAGAAGAGGATGAAAATTCAATCCCCTCTTTAGAATTTATGCACAATTATTTAAGATTATTACCTTTCCTCGACTTTAATACTATCATTTCGAGTAGAAGTGTTTGGTGAAGAGATTCGAAGGTTGGTTCCACCAGAAGACGACGGCGAATTCCT